CTCAGCACCTCTCCTGTCAAGTCTTTCCTTGCTGCGACCATTGTTGGGGTAGCGTATTCTGACTCGGACCTTCTGATCAGGCCTGCCTCCAGCAACTCCTTTATTTTCTCCTTGCGTATCTCCTCGTCCGCAGGTGGCATCTTCCTCCTCCTGTGAAACACCGGCTCATCACTGCTCAACTTCAGCGCCATTTCCTTGACCGTGCACTTCTCCAGTTCCTGTGGTGTAAAGGCGAAGCACTTTCTACGCTTAGCCAGCAGCGCCCGCATTGCTTCTTTCCCTTCCTCACTCATGGTCTCCCCTATTTTCCACTCTGGCTCCTCCTTCTCCTGGCAGACCCACACCCCTTGCCTGACTGCCGCTGCGTCTGTCTCTTCTTCCTTCGATCCTCAGTGGCGCACTGTCTCCCTCCACATCCGCTGCACTATCGACTGCATCATGTATCCGTCCATGGCGTTTCCCATTGCTCTTCTCCTCTCTTTCTCACTCACCCCAGGTGCTGCTGTGATGTTCTCCCCGTACCCCATGGCTAATTATCGCTCCAAGGGCGTGGGTTCCTCCCACCGTCCTTCCTGTGGTCATACACTAGCCCTGGCCCTGGCTTCTCTCCCTCCATCTGATATCATGCCGCTCCTTCATATGACACCAGTGTGGGCAGGGCCTGCCTCTTTTGTCCCATATGATTGCACGGGTAGTGCTTGCTGTAACTTTCTTCCAAACTGGTGCCGGAGTCCTTCCCTGTTCCAGTATGTCTCTCACCTTCCGTCCTCCTGCCCTCTCCACTCCCTTTACTTCTCTCTGCAGTTCTTCCACTGGCACTACGTTCTGCCAATACATCCTAAGTCGGTGTGCGTATGCTCCCATCCACACCGCGCAGCTGCTCACTCCCTTGCCCACTTGTCTCTTCACCCTCTCTCTCACCAGCCTCACTGGTTCCCGAATGTCTCCTTCCAGATCCAAGTGTTCTAGCAGGTACGCCAGCCGGCCCTGCCTATCCTGTAGCCATTCCATGATCCTGAACGAATCTTCCATCAGCTTGGTCCTGGGGTCTTGGTCACCCTTCCCCTTTCCAGCCTATGATACCCCCAGACACTCCCACCCTGCCACCAGCAGGTCCACGTGCCCCCAGCTTGCCACCTCGGCTTCCGTTACTGCCCTCACGTCATGCACCCCTCTGCTCATTGCCGCGCGGATCACTTCTCCCTTCAGCAGCTCTGGAAGCTCCGCCATTCTCCTCACCTCTGGTGCCTTTTCTACATATATCCACTGCTTCACTGCTATCCCGTTCCTCACCACCGCTGCCAACCCCGCCCCTATTCCCCCAAACAGTTCCACTAGACGGATGCGCTGCTGCCAGTCTGTCTGTTAGCTCGGCTCGTTCATAAAGCTCATCCTTGGGTCCCCTTCCCCTCCTTTGCCAGCTGTGCTCTCCTGTGCCCCCTGCTTCGCTGTCGTGTCCTTCTGATCTGCGCGGTAGGCCCTCTTTGTCTCCGTTTTCACGAATTACACCGGCAGCTGACCTAGCGGTTCTCCCTTTTTCCACCACCTCGTTCGGAATTCCACTGTCTCCTTCCAAAAGCATATGGTCATGCCTAATGCGAATATCATCTCCGTGCCCACCAACACATTGAAATCTTCAGATTCGGAAATCCCGCACCTGATTCTGACTTGCATCTCATGTTTTTCCCCTTGCAGTACTGTCAGTTCTATCGGAGTCCTCGTGCACGGCATCCACTTTGATTCCCCTCCCTCTGCCGTCATCACCAGCATCCCCTTCACCACATGTCTGTCTGGCGCCCACAATCCCAGCTTCTCAGCCATCCCTTTCCCCAGTATCACGCTCTGCGCTCCGGTATCTATAATGGCTGTCTTCGCCTTCTCCCCTTCCACCGTCAATGCTCCACTTTGTATTAGCAGCACCGAGGTCTGACATGCCAATCTCTCCTGCGGGTGACGTGCGGCTGTGCATCTCTCTTCCTTCTCCTCTGGCTTCTGCCCCCTTTTCCGTTCTTTCCTGACTTGATCCCTTCTAACATCCTTCCCTCCGCTGCGCAGCCCCATCTCTTCTCTTCCCCTCCATGCCATAAATGCAGGTTGCCCCTCCTGTTCTACATCTTCTTCTTCTTCTTCCCTGTCATCCTCCCTTCCTCCCCAAGCCATGAGTGCAGCTTGCTCCTCCTGCTCTAAATCTTCTTCCTCCTCATCCCTGGCATACATTCCCGCTTCAGCTTCTCATCGCAGTCCCAGTGCCTGTAACTGTGCTTGCAGCCAGCGGATCTGCTTCTCATGTTCCGCCAGCTTCCTCTTTGCCGCTCCCTCCTGCTGATAGCAGTATTTCGCCGCATGTCCTCCCTTCCCACAGATTTCACACTTTGGCGCTTCAAGGCATTCCCGCCGCCGGTGCCCTGGCTTCCCGCAACAGTCACAGTTTTTGCAGTCCCTGCGAAGGTGTCCCGGCTGTCCGCATCTATGGCATGTCTGTGTTTCGGGCCTGTTCTCTCCTCGACCCACTGCCTTGTCCCTCTCTTCAGGTATGATCGCTGCTGCCCAAGTTGGCCCCCGGCTTCTCTCCGAAGTCCTAGGCCGGTAAGCTTCATATTTTATTTGTGCGAGCTCCATCTTCTCTGCCAACTCGAAGACTTCATCCAGCGTTGTGTCTGCCCCCATGTCGTACACCTTCATGTGCAGTCCATTCCCCATAGTGCTGTCCAATCCATCCAAGAACTTACTGACTAAGAGGCCCATGTCCGCACATGTCACGTCTTCTGCCAAGTTAATCAGCCGATTGTAATAAGTGAGTAACGACTCACTCCTCCCCTTCCTGAAGTCATGAAATTCCCTTATTTTCTCTGCGGTATGCCATGGAAATCGCCGCTGCAGCCGCTTCAGGAATTCTTCAGTGGGGTCCTCCCCGTACCTTCCCGCCCTATCTAGCAACTCGTCCATCTTCATTCTATACAACGTCTCTGCCTCCCCCTCAAGTGTGTTCAGCAGACTCAGGAAGAATTCCACCGCATCCATGCCACTCCTCTCGCACCTGTACCTCACATTTCCCACTTGCATCAGGTATTTCTTCAGCGTAGGCCCCGCGCGATGATCCCCTGAGAACCGCACCGGCACTTCCACTCGCGAGACCATCGCTACACTCCCACGCCCCTCACCCCAGGACTCGTTGCCCCCTCTTTCTTGCCTTCCTGACGTTCCTCCTCCCCTCCCCCGCTCGATCCCTCTCCTTGCTTCTCTGGCGCGCTCCATACTGTACGCCATACCGCTGCCTACACCTTTGCTTCCATATTGTTCCTGTCTTGTTTCCCACCGCATTTCCTCCCCACCCATCCTTCCTCGACGTTTTGGTGAGTAAGGTGCCCGCGTCCGTTCTTCCCCTTGTCCTTTGTGTTGCCAGAGCCTCTCAGGCGTCGGGGATCGATCATCTCTCCTTCTTTCCTGCCCGCGACGGTTGTCCCGCTGACGCCACTCCTCCTCCCATCTCCCTCCCTGCCTTCGCTGCAGATCCCGATCTGGCGAGCGCGACCCTCCTCTATGCCTCTCATCACACTCTGGACGCCGATCCAACGAGCGATACTCGCTTCCCCTGCTTCCACCACGTTCTTGGTGCAGATCTGGCGAACGCGATTCACCTCCCCACCTCCCCTCATAGTGTTGGCGCCGATCCGGCGAGCGTGGCCCGCTTCCCCGCCTTCTGTCATGATCCTGATACAAATCTAGCGAGCGCGGCTCGCCTCCCTGCCTCCCGTCATGGTGTCGATGTAAATCCGGCGAACGCGACTCGCCTCTCCGCCTTTCCTCATGGTGCTGGCGCTGATCCGGCGAGCGTGGCCCGCTCCCCCGCCTTTCTTCACGCCGCGGATACAGATCCGGCGAGCGCGATCCGTCTTTCCGCCTCGCTTCGTACGCCGCCAGTTCTGCCTGTCTCCCCCTTCCCTGACTCCGCCGCCTCGCTTGCCTTCGCCGGGTCCGACTCAGAGGCCTCCGCGGGCATGTCGCGCTGCTCGCCTGTGCCCTCCTCCCGTACTTCGCCGCCGTCCTCCGCCTCGTTATCACGCTCCGAGTCCAGCGAGGCATCCACCACGGCGTACTCTCCTTCTTTGTCAGCGTTGGGGTCTCTCTCTCGGCCCAAAAACAGTCCATCCAAGCCTCGCCCGCGACTTCAATCTTCGCGACGGCGATAGCCTACTTCCGGCGAGCAATACACTCCCGTCTCCTGACGATACCTGTGATCGCCACCAGCGCCTCGGCTCGCTTCGTCCGCCACGGGTCACTTCCCACCGTGGCCGATCCCGATCCGCCCGCTCCTTCTTGTGCGAATCCTCCCTCTCGGTGCCGGCAGCGAGAGGCACCTGATCCGCACGAAAGGCCGGCCTTCGCGGCGATCGCTCCGGCCTACGCGGCGACCTCTCCAGCGATCGCCCACGCTCACGTGAGCGTCCGCGCCGCGAGCGATCCTCCTCGCGACGACCGCAGGTCCTGCCATAACGCAGCTCATACGCACCATCCTTGCACGCGCACACGCCTTTTCTCTTGTTATGAAAGTAACCGAACTCTCACCTCGGGGGTCCTCCCTGAGTGGTATGTCACCCGGCTGCTAGAACTGAGGTAACAATCATCCACTATACGAAAGGATGACAAGAGAAAAGCAACGAGTGTGTGTGTGTTAGTGAATTTACCTAGCCCAGGCTCGAAGTGTGCATTTCTCAATGTGCGTCTCGAGCCTGGGTTGGTTTGTTCACATTGTTTCCTTGGATTTCACCCCTCGATGCTCTCCTACCAACTTCGCGGCACTCTCCCTGGTCCCCAACTACCTACACCCCAAATGTTCATACGCAGTAATGCTACACCCAGAACTTCACCGCACCAACTCTGGCACCTTATATGCACGAACGTGCATACTCGGTGACACTTCTCACTTTGAATATTCACTCTAGAAATGCACTCTTGACCGTCACTCACAAATTCGCTCTCATTACTCACAGCCACATGCAATGCACGCGCACTATTCTCTTCCAACGCCAGCCCACAGCCTCCCTCTCTCCTTATCCTTGGCATTTTCGTCCATGCACCTGCCCCTTCGTTTTCCCCCTTCCTCTATACGCTCTCACCCTACCCAGGCAGTGAAAGAGAGGCAGCAGTACGAGCAGGAGTATGCCAATTGGACCGTTAGCATTACCATCAGCAGCAGTGCCAACAGCAGCCCCCCCTCGCTGCCGTCGCTGCAGCAGTTTCTGGCGACGGTGGCGGCGGTGAGGTCTCTGGCTCTGCCCATGCGCCTGCCGCCCCTGCAGGAGGGGCATGGGGAGGGGGAGGAGCAGGGGGGCAGGGGGAGGAAGGGCGGGAAGAAGGGCAGAAGGAGGGGAGGGAAGGGGCGGAAGAAGCAGAAGCAGCGGCGGTTTGAGCTGACGGTGGTGCCTCTGGTGAATGCTGTTGCCCGCTCGAATGAGAGGAACCAAGGGAACGTGCAATGGCAGGTGAGAGGCTGGCAACAATCCTCCACCGTATCCCTTCCCCTGCTTGTATCCCTTCCCCTGCTTGTATCCCTTCCCCCACTTGTATCCCTTCCCAACTCCACCCAAATCCGCCGGTACCTCAATCCCACAAGGGCTTCAGGATACTTTTCCCCTACATCCCTTTCTCCCATCCTTCCACCCCCCATCTCACCCACTCGGGCTTCCACCTGAGGGCGTCCGCCTTCTAAGTCCCCTTTATCTTCCCCATCCCTCCCACCTCCCCACACCCTCAGCTCACCCACTCGAGCTTCCACCTGAGGGCGTCAGAAGCCATTCCCACTGGCGCTGCCCTCGTGCTGCCTCTCAACGGCGGCCTGCCCGACCTGCTACAGCGTGACCCGCTTCAAGAAATACGCATCCTGGGGTGCTGGGGACAGCAGAAGAGGAGGAGAGTGAGGAGGGGGAGGAGGAGCAGGACGGGGTGAGGGAGGGGCGGGCGCGTTTCTCTTCTCTGGGCGAGGTGGAGGAGGCAGACAGCAGTGTGTTGCCGGCCACGCTGCTATAAAACGGCGATGCCTTCCTCTCCCTCCGGATCATCTCCGCCTGCTCCGCCTTAGACCGCGTTCAGGTTGGTATTGAGTGGTCAAGGTTGGTTCTGAGCGGTGCAAGAGTGGTTTAAGCGATGCATGTGGGTCGTGAAGAGGGAGCGTTCCTTTGTTTGCTCAACACCATGTGTTGGTGGGTGGTTGCACATGGCGGCTGGCCGGACCGGAGTGCCTGTCTGATTGAGAGCTTGCCTGCGGGTCAGTTCTGTCACGAGGTGTACCCATGCCGTTTCCAAGTGTAATGAGATGATTTTTGAGTCGACTAAAAAATTGAGGTGTATCGAATAGAACCTCTCACCACAAACATCGCCACGAACCTCTCTCACCTGACGGACTTTCCTGTAATCCTAGACGTGGTTTTCAGCAGCTTACAGCGGCCAGTGGGGGAGCTTTTAACGAGGATAGAGACCGCATTGCAAGGGGCAAAGGCGTGGGTTGAGACGGGGATGGTCTGCCGGGAAGGCAGAGCGGTGGGGATCAACTCGGTTCAGGTGGATGAGGTGAGGGAGAGAGTGGGAGCTTGGAGCGGGGATGGAACAGGCAGAGAGCAAAATGGTTGGGGGCAAACAGATTAGTTCTAGACGTCGTTTAGATGACGCCTTAAAGCTGCTCCCTCCTCGAAGCATGTCGCCCTGTCGTCTCCTCTCTTGCACTCCTGGTGTGTTTTGGGTCGACTCAAAACACTCTCCTCTTGCACTCCTGGTGTGTTTTGGGTCGACTCAAAACACTCTCCTCTTGCACTCCTGGTGTGTTTTGGGTCGACTCGAAACACTCTCCTCTTGCACTGCTGGTGTGTTTTGGGTCGACTCGAAACACTCTCCTCTTGCACTCCTGGCGTGTTTTGGGTCGACTCGAAACACTCTCCTCTTGCACTCCTGGCGTGTTTTGGGTCGACTCGAAACACTCTCCTCTTGCACTCCTGGCGTGTTTTGGGTCGACTCGAAACACTCTCCTCTTGCACTCCTGGCGTGTTTTGGGTCGACTCGAAACACTCTCCTCTTACACTCCTGGCGTGTTTTGGGTCGACTCGAAACACTCTCCTCTTGCACTCCTGCTGTGTTTTGGGTCGACTCGAAACACTCTCCTTTTGCACTCCTGCTGTGTTTTGGGTCGACTCAAAACACTCTCCTCTTGCACTCCTGCTGTGTTTTGGGTCGACTCAAAACACTCTCCTCTTGCACTCCTGCTCTGTTTTGGGTCGACTCAAAACACTCTCCTCTTGCACTCCTGGTGTGTTTTGGGTCGACTCAAAACACTCTCCTCTTGCACTCCTGGTGTGTTTTGGGTCGACTCAAAACACTCTCCTCTTGCACTCCTGCTGTGTTTTGGGTCGACTCAAAACACTCTCCTCTTGCACCTGGTGTGTTTTGGGTCGACTCAAAACACTCTCCTCTTGCACTCGTGGTGTGTTTTGGGTCGACTCAAAACACTCTCCTCTTGCACTCCTGGTGTGTTTTGGGTCGACTCAAAACACTCTCCTCTTGCACTGCTCGTGTGTTTTGGGTCGACTCAAAACACTCTCCTCTTGCACTCCTGGTGTGTTTTGGGTCGACTCAAAACACTCTCCTCTTGCACTCCTCGTGTGTTTTGGGTCGACACAAAACACTCTCCTCTTGCACTCCTGCCTGCCATTTGCATTGCACCGAATTCCATTCCATCCATTCCTTTTGTGCATCTTCCCCTTCCTCCATCCCATGCCATTTGCCTCTTGCAGGCTTGCCAGCCGTCCGTGCTTGCCCACGTGGCGCCCTCCCATTCGCTGCTGCGGTTCCTCGACAGCAAGCGCAGCATCCTACTGGCTGCCTCCGATCAACTCGCCTCTGCCTGCAAGCCCCAATCAGTAACCGCCACATCAGCAGCAGCAGCAGAACGAGATGCAGCAGCTGTTTCATCCCAAAAGGGGGAAGAGAAGGAGGAGAGAGGGAGGGAAGAGATGGAGGGGGGGAAAGAGTTCGAGGAGGGAGAGGAGGGAGAGAGCAGGAGGATGGGTTTGGGAGGGGAGGCAGTGAGTTGACGGGGAGGGCATGGGTGTGGAGTGCGGTGGTGGGGGGGAGGATGGGCGAGATGGGGGAGGAGGAGCGGGTGGGGGTGTTTGTGGAGTGGGTGCAGACGAATGGCATGGCGGACTATAGCAAGCCTGGCTCGGGGGTTGAGGTGCGTTGGGGTTGAGGTGCGTTGGGGTTGAGGTGCGTTGGGGTTGAGGTGCGTTGGGGTTGAGGTGCGTTGGGGTTGAGGTGCGTTGGGGTTGAGGTGCGTTGGGGGTGGGGTTAATGACTGAGTGATGGAGGAGGGTGAGCAGCAGGAGGAGGAGGAGCGGGTGGGGATTTTTGTGGAGTGGGTGCGAGCAAATGGCATGGCGGACTATAATAAGCCTGGCTCGGGGATTGAGGTGCGTTGGGATTAAGGTGCATTGGGATTAAGGTGCGTTGGGATTGAGGTGCATGACTGAGTGATGGAGGGTGAGCAGCAGGAGGAGGAGGAGCGGGTGGGGGTGTTTGTGGAGTTGGTGCAGGCGAATGGGATGGCGGACTATAGCAAGGCTGGCTCGGGGATTGAGGTGAGTTGGAGGTGGGTGGATGAATGAGTGGTTGGGGTGGGCGGGTGAGATGTTTTGAACGAAGCGGATGAAGAGGAACGAGTGAGCGTGTTTGTGGAGTGGGTGCGGGTGAATGGCATGGCGGACTATAACAAGCCTGGCTCGGGGATCGAGGTGAGTTGTGACTGGGGCGAATGATTGAATGATGGAGGGTGATGAGGAGGAGGAGGAGCGGGTGAGGGGAAAAGGGAGAAGGGCAGAAGCAAGGGAGGAGGGAGAGAGAGGGGTGAGGAGGGGTTTCAGGGGGTGTGAATGGGAGTGGGGACAGTGGGAATGACAAAGATTGGCTGATCACTATGAGACCCATGAAACGAAATTCACGATAGCAACAAAAGGTGAGGAGCGGGTGAGGGTGTTTGTGGAGTGGGTGCGGGCGAATGGGATGGCGGACTAAAACAGGCCATGCTCAGGGATCGAGGTGTGTTGGCATCGAGTAAAAACATCGGTTCGAGCCTCACATGGTAGTAGCAGCCGCAGACCGAGACTTTGAGTGCCTCCTCACATTTCCATTCCATTGTCTTCCGTTTCATCACCACCACCCCTTGCTGTGCTGGCAGATAGTCTTCTGGAACGAGACAGCAGGCAATGACGGGCAGGAAATCAGGTGAGGGACCGGAGGTAAGTCGAGGCAAATGGGTGGGTTGAACACAAGGAGGGTGACGTGTGTTCAACCCACCCGTTTGACGTGTGTCATGTCCGGTCCGTGCATGCCACCCCGCGTTCTACACCAAATTCCTCCCTCCAAACCAAACCAAACCACGCTCTTGGCCTCTCTTATTCCCTTCTATCCTTCCTTTTGAGACATCTCAAAAGTCGTCTCAACAGTCCTCTCCAAACCAAACCACGCTCTTGGCCTCTCTTTTTCCCTTCTATCCTTCCTTTTGAGTCGTCTCAAAACTCGTCTCAAAAGACGTCTCAACAGTCCTCTCCAAACCAAACCACGCTCTTGGCCTCTCTTTTTCCCTTCTATCCTTCCTTTTGAGACGTCTCAAAAGACATCTCAATAGTCCTCTCCAAACCAAACCAAACCACGCTCTTGGCCTCTCTTTTTCCCTTCTATCCTTCCTTTTGAGTCGTCTCAACAGTCCTCTCCAAGCCAAACCAAACCACGCTCTTGGCCTCTCTTATTCCCTTCTATCCTTCCTTTTGAGACAACGCGCACAGTGGGGGCTACACCTGGGCATCGAAAAACATTACAACGCGTGGAAGATTTTCGACGTCCACTCGAAGGAAACAGTAACAGCACGCGATGTTATCTTCTACGAGCGACTCACCCTCCAGACGTACCTGGCCAACCTGGAAGCTCAACGAGACCCCACAGGTGGCTTCTGTGGCAACCGTGCCTTCGCATCGTCAGCCGACAAAGCTGACTGGGATGAGCAAAATGTGGACGGAGCTTCAGAGGAAGCCGGACCTCTGCCCTACTGCTCGGTACCCATCCCGATGGATGATGACAACCCTCGCGAAAGCATCAACGCCGAAGTCTACTACGATTTCACCGACAACGGTTACATTACACCCCAACCAGTCAACACCAACATTTCAGAACGTATCGGCCCCAACTTCTTACCTGACCCAGAAGCGGGAGACGAAGCATTTTATCCCGAGGACCCAAATCTCCCCCGACTCTCACAGATTGGGCTGCAGATACTTGGTCTAGTCATTGTCGTCCATGGAGCATCGCCGCCGAGAGAGCCTACTACGGTTCAGCAGGCTCTTGGGGGGGAGCACAGGGAAAAATTGCGTGAAGCCATGGACAAAGAATTAAAAGCCTTGGAAGAACTCAACACATGGAAAATGGTCCCAATCACAGCTGCACGTGACAAGACAATCCTCACGGGAAAATGGGTGTTCCGCGTGAAAACAAAAGCAGATGGAACAATCGACAAATTCAAAGCATGATGGGTCGTGCATGGCTTCGATCAACAGCACGGACGAGACTTCACCGAGACATTCGCGCCGGTCAGCCGACATACCTCACTTCGGATTCTTCTCGTCGTTGCCGCCATGAAACGAAAGAAGCTTCGTCA